AGGCATTACTTTTTTTTTTTGACTGCTAGTTACAAGGTCCACAGTTTGAAACTACTAGCCACTCCTTGGGAGAAAGACAGGGGTCTTTCTATTCCGGAAAGACTTAACACTCCTCGCGGTCCTACCCCGTCCCTCCAGGGAGCCACTCCCCGGGACGCCTCCCCCTGGGCCACCCCAGAGCTCCTCCCCTCGGCTCTCCGCCCGGGCGGCTTCTGCCCCGCCTGGGCTCACGTCTCCTGCGCGCCCTGTCCTCTCTACCCCGCAGATCCGCAGGCTTCTGGAGACCGTGGGTTGACCCTCGAGGGGACACCGAGGACGTGACAGCGCTGCGTGCTGCAAAGGCGGTGAGTGACCCGTGCTTGGCGGGCTGCACCTCCGGGAGGCGCAGAGGGGCGCCGGGGTAGAGACGCGGATCCCCCGGGATGGAGGCTGGGGATGGGAGAGTTCGCACTCCCGCCTGTCCCTCGCCGACGTCCCGGTGTCCCGCTGCCCGAGGCCCTGTAGATCGGTGCTGAGGCGGCGGTGTGTGCTCTGGAGCAAGTTGGACACAGTTTGTGCCAAGCGTGAGGCTGCTGGGAGCCCCTGGGTCATTATCGCTGGGCGCTGAAAAAACGCCGTGAAAAGGTCACTGGTAACTGCTGGTCATCTCCTTGCATCCGCAGGTGCCCGATAGCCCCGGAGTGACCGACGCCTGCGGGAAGCTTTCCCATTACCGACACCCAGTGAGGTGGGTGACTGGGTTCACCCCTCCAGCCTCGGGAGTCAGAGGCATTGTCCAGCCCATCCCTGCCGCTGGGTCTGCTGCTTGTCTCTTACAAAGCGTATCCTCAAGGTTTCAGCTATTTATTCCCCCACTTCCAGAGACTGGTTGATCCATCCAATTGGAAAAAAAGTGGAGATCATGCCCCCACCTAAAAGAATTGGTCATCAGTGCACTCTCATTAGATCATTTAAAATGTATTATGAAAAGGGAACGTGAATAGTAAGTGCAGAAAGGTGGTATCGTGTGTGTGTGTGTGTGTGTGTGTGTGTGTGTGTGTGTGTGTGTGTGTCTGGTTTTAAATGCTAAATGCACCAAATGAAATTTACTTCCCATCAGGGTGAGTGTATATACTCTTATTTGATTGGAAACCAGAAGGAAAAAGGGATCCACAGTTGAGTTTTTAAAGCAAACTATGCTTGAATTGTAAGACAAGAGTGGAAAAGTGATGAAATCTCAAAGATCATAAAAGGGATCACAAACTAAGAAAACTAAGAAAGTTTAGTCTAGCCGAGTTTACAAATAAAAACAGACATGGAGTTCCTAACTAGTCCAGAAATTATGAGTGGGGAGGGTCAAAAGCGATGTGTCATAGGTTGTGTTACGTGAGTCTGGAAGAGGTTGGTGGTGGGAGTGTGGAGGAGGAGCATTAGAGGGAATACTACAGAGAAAGAGAAATGGGATCATGAAATGGTGTACCTTCTTCAAGGGGCTCCAGAGAGCTAAGGTTTGAGTTCATGCTTGGCCATTCCCGCAGGGAAGTCAGAGGACAGATCTTAACGTCCCTGTGCACACTGGTACAGATTTTTGTTTCTATCCTGGATATAGTGCTGGGAATCAGTGGTCCTTATTCTATAAGCAGCTTCAGGGGTTATTGAAAGGATATTATTAATCAGAAGAATAGAGTGATCAGATTTGTATCGTAGAAACATCGCTGTGAAAGTGACATATTGGCTTAATTAGATGCCCAAAGTAAGACCAAATGGGAAAGTATTCAAAATTAATCGATAAGGAATTATGAATGGCCTTTGTAAAGTATTGGAAAGAGGGATGAGGCCAACTAAATTTGAAAAATAGACTACCTAATAGATTAGGCTTTAAAATGTATTGGATATGGTAGGTAGGTGAAGAGGAAGCAAACAATCAGAATGGCTCTCAACTTTGTCACTATTGAGTGACCAGGTGAATGCTGAATTAACAGATTGGAAATGAAAGACTGGGAAAGATTTGAGTAAGAAGATCAGTCTAATTTTCCTTTTATCTTATTAAGTGGACCTATGGGGCATTTAGATAGAGATGGCCAGTAGAGAGCTGAATTTATAGGTTGGAGCCCCAGCATAAAAAATCTTTATTCAAAATCATCTTGAGAGCCTTTGGTAAATGAACCATTTAGGAAATCATGGCAATGAGTCAGGTCATCCTGGATAATGTAGAAAAGAGAGATGATCAAAGCCCTGGGGGAAGGCCAGTGTCAAACCAGTGTCCACAGACAGTTTACAAAGGGACTAAGAAGAATCAGTCCAAACAGAAGCGTTCAAGCAAGTATGGAGTCCCTGGGGAGAAACTCTGGGAAAGAGAATGTACTAAAGATTAAACAGTATCCTTTAAGTTTGAAAGTTCAAGATTTTGAAAATTCCAATTATATACTGGGAAAAATGCTTCTTATTTAAATATTTCCTTCCTACTCCTAAAATTATGTTATCTTGTCTAGTATTGCTTGTGTAAGATTTTTTTAAATTCAATTGTCAATGTCTAGAGGGTGTTGTGTGCCATCCAGGTGATTCTGATTGATAAGGACCCCATATAACTTAGTAGAATTGCCCCATAAGGGCTGTGGTGCTGTACTAGGTGTTGGTTTGCTAACCACAAGGTCGTCGGTTTAAACCCACCAATTGTTCAGTGGGAGAAAGATGAGGCTGCCGGATCTCATAAAGATTTACAGTCCCTGAAACCCTAGGTCATTACCAGTAGGAATCTATATGATGATGAAACTAAAAGCAAACTCACATGCCATCAAGTTGATGCTGACTCATAGAGACCCGGTAGGACAGGTTAGAACTGCCCATGGCTTTCGAAGACTGTTTATGGGAGTAAAAAGTCCAGTCTTTCCAGTAGTTGGTGCTTTTGAACTGCTGACCTTGTGGACAGTGGATTTGTATTTTTGCTTTTAATATTTGTTAATCACCAGGCTTTTTCTCTCAGAGTGACTGATAGATTCGAATGACTGACCATCTGTTAGCAGCTGAGCACTTAACTGTAGTACCACTAGGCCTCTATCATTTTGAGAATATAAACCATGGTTTATTCATAGTTGAATTATGAATTATGTCTGGCAGAAGATATCATTAAAATATTGATTTAGTGATCAAATAATGTAATGTTTATTTACTTTGGTTTGGTACTTAGGCATTACTTTTTTTTTTTTGACTGCTAGTTACAAGGTCCACAGTTTGAAACTACTAGCCACTCCTTGGGAGAAAGACAGGGGTCTTTCTATTCCTGAAAGACTTAACAGTATTTTATACTCTCAGGGCGGGTCTATTCTGTCCTATAGGATGTCGATGAGTTGCCATCAACTCAGTGGCAGTTGCGTTTGGAGTTTGGTACTTGGGCATTACATTATAAACTTTTTTTTCTTGTATACCAATCTTCTAGAAGCATTTGTACATTGGCAACTTTCTGTCTTTTAAAATGGGGCATATTGAACACAGTGTAACTGCCTCTTTGCTTAGGATTTAAGGTAACAATAAGTAATATCAATGATCTTGGGCTCTAGGACAGCGAGGCTCTCAGAAGATATAGGATATATGGTACTTTATTTCTACAATGAAATAACTATTGTGATCGGTCATTCAACCTTATCCTTTCTTTCCTTGGATGAATTGAAACCTAGGTGGTAAGATTATTACTTGTGAGATTTTTGAAACTCTGAGGTATTTATGCTCATATGCAAGTTATTTGAATTAAACTAAAATTTTTATCTTGAACTTTTCCAATATGGACTTCCCAAACTTACTTTAGTGTAGGTAAGAAAGAGAGATAGGACAAGATTCAAGTGAAAGGTAGCTTTCTTACACTCAAATTGTGAGCCAAGCAGGAATTTATAAAAATATTGCTTTTTTCATACATTTCTAAATTTGTGTTGGCTACATCTAGAACTAAGGGTTAAAACTGTGAATTTTCAAGAAGGTGCTAAGTGATTTTTGCATTTGTGGAAGGAGCATAATATCTTGTTGCCTAAAGGAAGCCAAATATTAATCTATATGCTTACATAGGATCTAGTGTGAATTTGTTTGATACAGTTTATAGCTTGCATGAAAATTAAAATTAAAATCACTATTACTAGGACTTTGACAAGTGGGCTCCATGTAAGCGGTGATAATAGCATTCTAAAAATCTCTATATTGCGGCTGTATCTAAATGTATAACTTAGTTGTTGAATATATGGAGCTATTAAAATTCAATCATTGATCAATTCTGAACATGGAAAAATAAAACATTTTATGTGTTCTGCTTATTTCAGACTATTTTGGCCAAAATCAAAGTGCTATGACTATTTATATCAAGAAGCAGAAGCTCTCCTGAAAAATTTTCCAATTCAAGCCACAATTTCATTTTATGAAGATTCTGATAGTGAAGATGAAATTGGGGAGCTGACCTGTGATTTGGAAAATTAATCCGATTATTTTGGATGATATTTGAAAGTAGGATTTAAATTTAGTGTACAAATGTATCATAATCCTTTAAATAATTTATTTGTATATAAATTATTAATAAAATGAATTATTTTATAACTGACATAGTAGTTTGTCTTTTTATTAATTCCTACTCTAGAATTTAATGTTGGAATTTAAAATCGATAAAATTGCCATCTATAAAGGCCATCTATAAAATTGCTGTGATTCTATTATAAACATTTTGGGTTTAGAAAGACAAATTTTTATCAAATGACAATATAAGCTTAGTTATAATTTTGCAAGGAATGACAATATTTGTCAAGATTGAATTCTGTAACATCTGCTAATTTTACACTAATCATCCAACGTCATTGGGTGTTGATGTTAGAGATGACCATTTATCTTATTAGATAATGAAGAAAATCACCTCATGCTACCAGTCACATTATTGTGTGTTGTTTCCTAGCAGTTGGTGAAAATACATTAAATCATTGTCTATAATTGAGGACAAGAGTTAATTTTAGGGCTCTGGAATTTATTTTTAATAAATGACAAGTCAAGTTAATTTTCCCTGTAAAACTCCTCTGCTATCCTTAAATCCAGCAGTGAAATAACAGAGGTTGTCAGTATAATTTGTATAAGATTGCAAGACTTCCTCTAACACAAACCCTCCTGAAGTAAAACAAAATGATAGAATAGTTTTTATGGAGTCTATAAAAGAAAGTACAAAGACAATAATTTGATAATATTTTTTCACTTCTGTCCAAGGGGGAATTAAAAAGTTGGCCAGATATAAATGATCTCTAAAGAGATGTGTTCCACTGTGTAAAAGAGTTCACCAGTCCTGGATAAAGGATTCTCCAATATTAGCTACCTTACTTTAATCTCGTTCCCTGCTCCTAATAATCACATATAAAATTATTCTCATGAGAATTAAAACAAGAAATTACTATTGATTACTTTTCCCTATATGAATGTAAAATAATTGTTAGCATTTATGAGTGAGACAACAGAGCAATTTCCCAGGTAAAAGTAACATAATTGAAGTTCATTATCTGCAGCAAAATATTTTCCCAACATACATCTCAATTGTCAACAAAAAAGTCCCTATAATATTTCAGAATAGTAATGTGTAGAGGTTAAGGCCAGAGATGATTGTCTAGTTAAGAAATGTGTCTTACTTCAATAGCTGCATACATCCATACGTTTCTTTCCATTTGAAAAGCTACTTCAACCATAACTTTGATTGACAGACTCTTGACACTCAAAATAGAGATAATTAAGTTCACACTATGCCAGTGTGTCCAGAATTGGAAAAGTTACTAATGGGATGGTGGGGAGAGTTATTTAGAGTTCTAAGTTTCCTCTCCCTCCTTAGATTCTTTCTCAGGATTTGTGTGTTCCCCCGAGGATACACAAAATACCAAGTCACCAATCTGAACATGGGGTATCAAAGATTGTTATGTAATGCATAGCGTTTGTGCTTCTCATTAATATATTGAAACAGGATGTAAAACCATTGACTCTAATCTACTAGGCCCAAATGTAAAACAAACCAAACTCACTGCCATCGAGTTGACTTTGACTCAGAGTGGCCCTAAAGGACAGAGCTGAACGAGCCTGTGAGTTTCTGAGACCATAACTCTTTCCTGGAGTAGAAAGCCCATCTTTCTCCTGCAAAATGGCTCAGAGTTTCGAACTGCTGACCTTGTGGTTAGCTGCATCCCAACACGTAACCATTATGCCACCAGGGCTCCTAATAGGCCTAAATATAATGTTTATATATGACACCTAATTTAATCCATACTAAATCCTAATCTCATTATTTAGACAGGAAAAATGAGCCGTTGGGATACGGCAGTTACTTGGAAAAGGCTGCCCAGTGCAGCATCTACATTCTAACCAAATATACTCAACCCTGAGATTTTCTTTCCAGGATCAGTTGGGGGTGAGCTGAATTGGTGCATAATTTTAAGCAGGGGGTGAGGTGAAGCGGAAGAATTTATGAATGGGTGAATGAAGCAGAGGGCAACTTTATAAAAAGTCTTTTTCTCATTTGTCAATCATTAAGGAGGGTTCTCAGAGGTGAGATTAATTTTCTCCCTAACTCGCAAGAGTTAGCTCTTAAAGATGTGAGATTCTGTGTCCTGTGCAGCCTCGTGTTTTAGATGAGTTTCAGAGAAATAGAAATACTTTAATACGAGGAGGCTTCAAAAATTTCCATTTTCTTTTCATTCAATGTATCCACGAACTTTTTGATTTTCACTCTAGTGTGATTCTGTTTCAAGTCATGCTGTAGCCCGGTTTTTCTACGGACAGAGACTGGCGCTCTGATTAACAGGGCGCAAGAGGAATTTATTCTCAGATTTGGTCAGCACCAGCGTCAAGGAACAGCTTCCCTTCAATCTTGCCTCAAATTAGATGACACCACGGTCCAGGGCTGTAGTGCTGAGCGCGAGATCAAATGAGCATGCGTCCTTCTACCGGCGCCTCGCCCTCCCTCACCCCGCCCTTCCCGTCCGCCCCGCCCACCTAGCCTCTACGTGCTGCGTCATGGCGCGCCTCGCCCCCGGCGACCCCGGAAGTGAGCCGGGGGCTTGGCCTCTCCCGGCCGCCGAGCCGGAGCGGGAAACCTAACCCGCTTAAGGTTCAGTCCTTTTAACCCATCGGGCGTCGGACCTGGGGCAGGGCCAGGGTCAGGGGTTCAAGATGTTGAACGTCCCTTCCCAGTCGTTCCCGGCCCCTCGCTCTCAGCAGCGCGTCGCCGCCGGGGGGCGTAGCAAGGTAAGCGGGTACATGCTGGTCTGGGGCTGCGCTCGCCGCCCGCTGGCTTTTCGCGCTAATGCTTTACCTTGTGTGCTCTTCTATCCTTCCATCCCTGTCGGGGGCCGCTTCAGTTTACGCTCGCGTCTGCCCTGGTTGCCGACCTCCTTCTGATCTTCCATGCCCAGTCCTCGAACGCTCCTAACCTCCCTCTCCCTTACCTGCTAGCATCTTCTTACCCATCCCTTTATCTCGCTCGATTACTTCTCCTGGTCTTGCCCTGCTAATTAAATCACATATGTGTTACTGGACCAGACACTCCTCTCAGCTCTTTTGGTTTTTTTTCCCGGAAGAATGATGTGGGTCTCCAAGCAGCAGAAGGGAAGGGTTGGGCAGCGTCGAGGGCGACCACTCCTCCAAGGGATGGGGGCTCCTGGAGGAGCTAGGGAGGAGTGGCGAAAGGAGGGCAAATGTCTACACACATCCAGTCAGGCTTACTGACACTTCTCCAAGCCCCCTTTTTTCTTCTGTATGTGATTCCCCCCCCACCCACACACACTGATAGCACTCGCTGACTTTGATGCTAACAGTATTCTTGAGAAGTTTTGTTGAGCATTGTTACTGTTAGCAACAGGTAGAATACAAATGTAAAATTTAGCAATACAGTTGGCTCCCATGTTCTTTGCTAGGTGATGGTGATTGCTAGGTATTATCTGCTCCTACTGTTACTAGTTCCTCATTCTGTAACCACATCTTTTTTTTAAAACTTCCACCTTCTTATACCACTTCTTTTTCATTTATGCACTCCTAGGTCTTCGCATCGTTTGTGGTCTGCATCGACTTTTTTTTTTTCCGGCTGGCCCTAGATCACAATATGGGATTCAGGGAGCTGCCAGTGAATATGCTCCAAGTGATCCGAGTGCGTTCCATGTTTTAGCTGCTACAGTTAACCACAATCCTAGGAAGTGGGAAACTGGCTAAGAAATGTTGCCTTAGGGTTGCTGTGATGTGATACTGATAATGAAGTGACCCTGTTGCCTTGTTTACCATCTAGCCATCCAGTCATGTGTCTTCCTTTTCTTGCATGGTTGATCTGCCCCTCTACGTAAGTTAAATGGTTGATTGTTTATAGTCTCGAATAGTTTAGCCTTTACAGATGAAGAAATTCTGAGTGAGAACATCAGAGTTCCTGCTCCTTGTCATTAAAATGACCTCCTACACCAGCTTCACTTATTTAAAGTTAATAATGTAAGGCAAAGATAAAAGAAAGGTTCATAAGGCAGAATTGAGTCTTTGCGTCTAAAAAGAGAAAAAGATAATATTGTGCAATCAAAGGAAAACAGTCTCACTCAAGATAATCCTAAACGTGAGTCAGAAGCAGAATGAGAACTGGATGAGATGGGTGGAGGTTATACATGATAATTGTTTGCCTAGACATTAAAGTCTGAAACCTTCCTTTCCAAACTTAACCTCTTTGAGTGTAGGCTTCCTCTAGTGCAGTAGTTCTCAACATTCCTAATGCCACAACCCTTTAATACAGTTCCTCATGTTGTAGTGACCCCCCCAACCATAAAATCATAATTGTAATTTTGCTACTGTTATGAATCGGGTGACCCCTGTGAAACGGTCGTTCGACCCCCCAAAGGGATCTCAAAACACAGGTTGAGAACTGCTGCTTTAGTGTAAAATGGGAATAATAGCCCCCATCTTAAAGGGTTGTTAATAGGATTAAATGAGATAGTCTTGGCATATAGTAAACTCAAATTTACTCCTACTGAGTTCATTCTGACTCATAGGGACATATAGGGGAGACTAGATCTGACCCCCTGTGGGTTTCTGAGACCTAAAATCTTTTTTTTTTTA